TATTTCTTAGAAGATAGAAACAAGCAAATCAAAACTTTCTAAATCTGAAAAAAAGCTACATTTCTCCGCTCATTTCCATAGCACAAAAAAAATCAGACCACATTTAGGGAAGCCCAGCATTAAGTTCATTTTGTTAATTTTGCCGTTTTAGTCAATTTAAACTTGTAAAATGAGGCCGAAAATTGTCTAAACTTAATTGTCAAGAAGACTTTATAAAATTGATAAAGTCAAAATGCGTTTTCTTCGTAAAATTCTTCAAGGCCGGTTCATTCTTGAAAATTTTAAAAGTCTGCATTCAAAAAAAAAAGTACGTTCTCAAAATTAAAAAGTTATTTTTTTCAATTTAGGGTTTCTTGTGTATTGTTAAGTGAACAAATGTGAATTTACATTTATATGTAAAAAATTGTTGCTCAAACAATAAAAAAGTTTATTTTAACAGTTTATGACAAATAATTTCTTCAGCGCATTAAAAAAGAAAATTTTCAAATAAATATTTCTCAAGAATGTATCATAAACATTTCTACGTATCACTTCTTTATTCGAAAACTTTATTACAAAATTATTATTTTCAAGGTATTTTCTAGGGAGAAAAAATAACAAGATGAAAATGGAAGAGAAATAACAAGATGAAAATGAAGGGGAGAAATTACAAGATGAAAATGGAGGGGAGAAATGACAAGATGGAAATGTAGGGGAGAAAATGACAAGATAAAAATGGAGGGGAGAAATAACAAGATGGAAATGAAGGGGAGAAATAACAAGATGAAAATGGAGGGGAGAAATAACCAGATAAAAATGGAGGGGAGAAATGACAAGATGGAGGGGAGAAAGTACAAGATGGAGGGGAGAAATTACAAGATGGAGGGGAGAAATAACAAGATTAAAATGGAGGGGAGAAATAACAAGATGAAAATGAAGGGGAGAAGTAACAAGATGAAAATGGAGGGAGAAATAACAAGATAAAAATGAAGGTGAGAAATAACGAGATGAAAATGAAAGGGAGAAATGATAAGATGAAAATGGAGGGGAGAAATAACAAAATGAAAATGGAGGGGAGAAATAACAAGATGGAAATGAAGGGAAGAAATAACAAGATGAAAATGGAGGGGAGACATGACAAGATGAAAATGAAGAGGAGAAATCACAAGCTGAAAATGAAGGAGAGAAAATGACAAGATGAAAATAGAGGGGAGAAATGATAAGAAGAAAATGGAGAAGAAATTACAAGTTGAAGTGGAGGAAAATTATAAGATGAAAATGGAGGAAAAATGACAAGATGGAAATGGAGGGGAGAAAATGACAAGATAAAATTGGAGGGGAGAAATGATAACATGAAAATGGAGGGGAGAAATGACAAGATAAAAATGGAGGGGAGTAATAACCAGATGAAAATGGAGGGGAGAAATGATCAGATGAAAACGGAGGGGAGAAATGATAAGATGAAAATGAAGGGAAGAAATAACAAGATGAAAATGGAGAGGAGAAATAACCAGATGAAAATGGAGGGGAGAAATAACAAGATAAAAATGAAGGAGAGAAAATGACAAGATGGAGGGGAGAAATTACAAGTTGGGGAGAAATAACAAGATGAAAATGGAGGGGAGAAATAACAAGATGAAAATGGAGGGGAGAAATAACAAGATGAAAATGGAGGGGAGAAATGATAAGATAAAAACGGACGGGAGAAATGACAAGATGGAAATGAAGGGGAGAGAGACATGACAAGATGAAAATAGAAGAGTGAAAATTACAAAATTAAAATTAAGGAGAGAAAATGACAAGATAAAAATGGAGAAAAATTATAAGATAAAAATAGAGGGGAGACATGATAAGATAAAAACGGAGGGGAGAAATGATAAGATGAAAATGGAGGGGAGAAATGACAAGATGGAAATGAAGGGGAGAAATAACAAGATGGAAATGGAGGGGAGAAACACCAAGATGAAAATGAAGGAGAGAAAATGACAAGATAAAAATTGAGAGGAGAAATGATATGATGAAAATGAAGGAGAAATTACAAGTTGAAATGGAGGAGAAATAACAAGATGGAAATAGAAGGGAGAAATGATAAGATGAAAATGGAGGGGAGAAATGACAAGATGGAAATGGAGGGAAGAAAATTACAAGATAAAAATGGAAGAAAGAAAATGACATGATGAAAATGAAGGGGGCGAAAATGACAAGATGAAAATAGAGGGGAGACATGACAAGATGAAACTGAAGAGGAGAAATGACAAGCTGAAAATGAAGGAGAGAAAATTACAAGATGAAAATAGAGGGGAGAAATGATAAGATGAAAATGAAGGAGAAGTTACAAGTTGAAATGGAGGAGAAATAACAAGATGGAAATGGAGAAAAATTATAAGATGAAAATGGAGGAAAAATGACAAGATGGAAATGAAGTAGAGAAAATGACAAGATAAATAATAGAGGGGAGAAATGACAAGATGAAAATGGAGGGGAGAAATGACAAGATGGAAATGGAGGGGAGAAAATTACAAGATAAAAATGGAAGAAAGAAAATGACATGATGAAAATGACAAGATAAAAATGGAAGAAAGAAAATGACATGATGAAAATGACAAGATGAAAATGAAAGAGAGAGTCTGAAAACCGGAAACAAAACAGTTAGATAAATAGATAGATATAGAATTGTAAAATAGTTAGACAAGTAGATAGAAAATTAGAGACGCCCAAACCAATTGCAAAAGTTTTCATTTCACCTTTCAGACTCTCTTCAAATCTTGATTCAGGCGGGGAGTATTAGTGCTGTGGATTCAAATTTCTAAAAAAACTTGTTTTCTGAATTCAGTTTTACACAATTATATTTATTGTATATTTATATGAATATATACAACTATACAAATATATAAAACGTTCTTAGCAAAAAAAAAACAATAAAACTTCCAAGATTTCAAAACTGTATAATGTAAAAAATAATAAATGGAAAAACGATACGAAAACGATCCGAAAACGCGTTACAACACGTTAGTTTTTGCATAGTTTTCCGCCAGGGTCAAAATTTGACATAACTTCAGAAAAGCAAATGTTTAGAAAACAAATTTAAATATTTGCTTTCCTTAAATTATGCCAAACTTTGATATTGAAAGAAAATATTGGCCAACAAACATCGGCCCAATTGTAGCTAGTTTTATATCTATTTATTTTTTCAAAATTCAAATCACAAATATATTTTCATACACATTTTTTCAGTCTTTCAGAAAAAATAAAAAAATAGCCAATAACTTTTTTTCTTTGCATGACCTACACACCTAAAATAAAGTATTTATTATGTTTTTACATCTGTCAGAAAATCACATATTGGAACAAAATCAAAATATCTAATTTTACATCTTTCGGTGGAATTTTTTAAGTTTTTTTTAAGCCTACCAAGTCCACATTCCTCATATTACCTAAACTATTTGAGTTAGCGGTCTGATCCTTTGAAAATTAAGTTGTAAAGTTGCATGGACTAAACTTGACATATACCCCGCCCACCTAGACGTACCTATATTATAAACTTGACATATACCCGCCCACCTAGACGTACCTATATTATATACTTGACATATACCCGCCCACCTAGACGTACCTATATTATATACTTGACATATACCTGCCCACCTACACGTAACTATATAAGACAAAAAAAAATCGTGAAAAGGTTCAAGTCTATCAGAGTTCTTGATTTCTCGCTTTGTATCATCAGAGTAAGTTTGCAGCGTATTTAATTACATAACACCAAGAAGAACTTTTTAATTTTAAATTTTATTTAATTTTAATTTAAATTTTAAATCTTAAATTTTAATTTAAATTGGTAAATTTTATATATTATAAAATGGTTAAATGCTTTAAATTCATTTTTCAGTAAATTGCATTACGATTATGATTAAAAAAAATAGATTGTAATAGTTTGCTAGATTTTTTATGTTTTTTATCTACTTTAACTAAATTAGGATTGTTTTTGACAAACATATAGAATTTAGTAAACAATAAAGGTATCTTTAGTTTTATGAATATAATCTGAAAAGTACTCTTGATTTTTCATTAAATAAAAATAAATTTGAAATTTGAATTTGTATTTAAATTGGTAAATTTTATATATTATAAAATGGTTAAATGCTTTAAATTCATTTTTCAGTAAATTGCATTACGATTATGATTAAAAAAAATAGTTTGTAATAGTTTGCTAGATTTTTTATGTTTTTTATCTACTTTAACTAAATTAGGATTGTTTTTGACAAATATATAGAATTTAGTAAACAATAAAGGTATCTTTAGTTTTATGAATATAATCTGAAAAGTACTCTTGATTTTTCATTAAATAAAAATAAATTTGAAATTTGAATTTGGTTTTATTAATTTAGTAACTGTTTTCAGTGTTATTCTGTCATCTAACACAACAAAGAACTTGAATAAAGTGTAATACTATTGTTTTATTAATTAACTGTTTTCAGTGTTATTCTGTCATCTAACACAACAAAGAACTTGAATAAAGTGTAATACTATTGTTTTATTAATTTAGTAACTGTTTTCAGTGTTATTCTGTCATCTAACACAACAAAGAACTTGAATAAAGTGTAATACTATTGTTTGTTGATCGTTAAGGTTCATTGAAAACTTATAAATGATTAACTGCAATCAATAAACTTTGCAA